GGTGAAATTGCAAACTATGATCATCATCACCATCCGCTGATGTCCACCTCGCTGACGCCCGAGTCGAGCAGTTGCGGCAGCAGTACCAGCAATGCGGATCAACAGCAATCAGCCAGCAAATCGACGCTTCTTTTAAACTTTCCTAGTGGTCATCGAAACGGCGGCAAAGTGCTCAAAACTGGTAGTGATGATGGTGGTGGTGGTGGCGCTGAGGATCAGAGCAAAATGATGTCCACTGCTGTTGTGGCCAACTGTAGTGGTAACTCACACAATCAAAGCAGTTGTTTAGAAGAGCTTCCGCCGCCTTTGGTAGAGATTAGCAGTACTGCTGAAGCTATCTCTACCACCACCACCACAAGCTCCAGCGGAAAACCAGTCAATGGTAAGCTGGAGAAAAAGGAAGGAAGAGGGGGTTCAACAAGGGGAAAACAGTCGAAAATAAGTAAGTGTTTTGCACAGAGTATATAACTTGATAAAACATTTGTTAAAATTTTATTATTAAAACTCCCCCCAATTTAGAAAGCAAAAGCAAGTCAAACCGCAGCAAGCCGTACAAAGTCGTACCACAGCAATCCTCCTCCGCCTCTTCTCCATCGTTTTCCTCTGTCAGTTCAGCTGCAGCACCACTAAACACAGCTCACTTCAGCCTTCTGGACAGCGCCAATCTCGTGCAGTCACCAGCGGAACAACAGCCAGTGCCAGACAACGCCTTTACCATTCTGGAGAGCAACGGCAGCGGCGGAACTTCTGCAGGCGACATGGCGGCGGCGGCGGCGGCGGCAGCAGCAGCAGCTGTTCACCACCTGCACCACCACCACCTTCACCACCACCATCACCCTACCTTTGCTGCTGCTGCTGCAGATCACCAATTGTTTGGATCATCGCATTACAGTGCAATCGATCTAACCTCCGCCTACCCAGTTGGTGATCATCACCACCACCACCACCATCATCAGTCACAGCCGCAGCTGATCGGCAGTTCAAGTATTTCAAGCAGTAGTAGTAGTTCAGAGCACGCCAAGTACTGCCTCAGTTCAACGCTGTACAGTGGCGGTGCTGTCGGCGGACTGTCGTACAACACCGGCGGCGGTGGTGGTAATGGCCACCACACGCCAGCTGCAGAGCTCCTCGATGCTGCTGTCACTGCTGCCACGGCCGCCTCAGTTCGACTTCCGGCGGCGGATCATCATGGATCTACCATCACCACCACCACCACCACCACCACCGGCTATTATGATCATCAAACGAGTGCAGCCGTTTTTGGAGGTGGTGGTGGCGGTAATGGCGGCAATTGGAACTTTTTGGGATCTTGTCGGGAGGCAGAACTGTCAGGCAGTGGTTTTGTCGCCGGCAATCAGGCATCATCTGCCTATGTGGGCAGTTTTCCATCTCCGTACCATCACCACCACCACCAATACGTTTCAGGGGCCATTAGCAATCAGCATCCCTTTCACGCACAGACCGGTCACCACCATCTGCATCACCCTGCTTATCACCAGCAGGCAAATGCGGCGGCGGCATTGTACGGCAGCAGCAGCAGCAGCAGCAGCAGTCCTTATCACTTGTACGGTTTGCAGCAGGCATCTTCATCGCCGCTGCCAAGCATGATTCACCCTCATCACCACTCCTACGTACCGCCGCCACTACCACCACTCCCTTTTGATCAGCTGTCACCTGCACCACCGGTAACTGAATGTTTTGATGTTTCGTCATCGTCATCAGCCTTTGGAGAGGTTATCAGTAGCAGCGGCAGTAGTGGTGGTGATCACCACTTTCAGCATCACCTTCAGCAGCAACAGCAGCAGCAGCAGTTGTCACAGTGCAGTTATGGCCAGCAGATTACTTCGCCTTATGAAAGTCAGCCAGTTCATCATCAACAGCAAACTATGATAGCTTCCGATGTGGTGACCTTAACCTCAGTAGAGGAAAACATCGTCGTTGAAAGTTTTACCGGAAGCAGTGCCGAGCAGCAGCCAATTTCTAACAAAAGTCCCATTACTGATCAACAGGAAACTGAGCAGCAAATTATTTCAGGACAGTGCAACAGTGCACTTGACAAAAGCGATTGCCTTTTTACAAACGTTTTGCCAAAGAAAATCTCAGTCTCTAGCAGAGACAACCTAGATGAAGTGGTGGTCCCTACAGCAATGACAGCAGTGGCTGGCAACAGTGATCATCATCACCATCATCATCATCACCACCATCCGCATCATCACAACAGCATCAACAACAGTGAAGGTGTGGTAGACATCAAAAGAAATGACGCTAAAAATAATGGCCACAAAAGTGGTAACAGTACTGATAGTTTTGGTTTTCAGCACCTTGATCTAGATCACCTTGCCAAAACTTCAGCAGCATCAGCAGCAACAATGACGGCACCTATTATTATTGGAAATAAAGGATAGTGAATAAAAAAAATGATGATGATGTAATTTTGTGTTGTTAAACTTTTCATTTTTGCTTTTGTCAATTTTATGATTGTAAAATTTAGGCGTTTTAACAAAATTTTTTTTGTTCAAAAATCACCGTTTATAATCTTACTCGTTTGTTCGGTGTCAGGTGTCCGATGTGTAAAACCATTAAATACTTCCCATTANAGCTTGGCACAGAAATCACATTAATTCTAACAAAAATTTAAGTAAAAGAATTAGAGTTGTACGACCGACGGAGCCCGAGATCCAGGAACTCGAAAATAACGCACAATCAACAGTGGGGAAAAAAGAAGCCTGCTGTTGCTAGCGCATGCGGACTGTCTGCGATCCCTTGAGAGCGCTATCATTCCCCTCACTAAGAGGGACAAAGTTTTTTCTTTTGTTTGCAGCTAATGTGTTTGCCCAGCAGAGTGACTGCACATGCATTCTGCAGCAGTGCACGCCTCAAATTTGCAAAGTCTGATGTGACTTGGCCACGGTTAACTTCCGTCGACGAGGGTCCCGCAAGCGAAGCGAACGTGGCCCGAGGAGACTGTTTACTTCTACTTATCTTTTCAAATTTTGCCTATTTCACCCACCGCCACCACCACTGCCACCAGCAACAACTACAGCAAAATGGACCAACCAGCCCGTTTTGAAAAAGTTCAAGAGAACCTTTTTCGACAACTCCGTCAAGAAAAGACGGTCCGGCAAGTTGGTCGAGCCCACCTAGCTACCACCACTATCACTACCACCACCACCAACTTCCGCAACTCAAAACTTGGCAACGAGCCAAGATCAAAATTCGGTGCGTCGTTCGAGAGAAGACCCGCAAGCGGCTGGGCCACCACCACCTTTTTCATTAACATGGAAAACAACAACAACAACCAACCTCTGCGGGCCTCAATTCGACGCCACGTTGAAGATATCAGAAAGGTTAAAGAGCTGCGCCAGCGGCCGGGCTGGTTTTTTGCGGCCAGGCCGGTCAGGGCTCCTGAGGAGGAAGAAGAAGAGAAGGAAGGGGAGGAAACCCCTGTCCACCATTCACCATCACTTTCTCCAGCAGCCAAATTCAAGGTCTGGTGCGTCGTTCGAGAGAAGGCCGGTCAGGGCTCCTGAGGAGGAAGAAGAAGAGAAGGAAGGGGAGGAAACCCCTGTCCACCATTCACCATCACTTTCTCCAGCAGCCAAATTCAAGGTCTGGTGCGTCGTTCGAGAGAAGGCCGGTCAGGGCTCCTGAGGAGGAAGAAGAAGAGAAGGAAGGGGAGGAAACCCCTGTCCACCATTCACCACCACCTTCTCTAGCAGCCAAACTCAAAGTTTGGTGCGTCGTTTGAGAGAAGACCCGCCATTTCCATCAGACACTTCCATCAACAAAAGCACTTGTTTAATTTATTATTTGCCATTTTATCCTTTTCATTTCATTCATTTATTAATTTTTTGTTCTATGACTTTTTAGTTTTTTATTAATAATTTCTTGACTTACTTTACTTAATTATTTGCTTTATTTACTTTTATTATTTACTATTATTTTTTTACTTATCTATCACAATTTTTTCATTACATTTCTTACTTCTTTAATTTATTACTTTCTATTATTCTTATTTATACTTTTTCATATTTTTTATTGTGGTGCCATCCAATCAATTTTTAATTGTATCATCACAACAGCATCAACAACAGTGAAAGTGTGGTAGACATCAAAAGAAAATTTTAGCAGAATCAGCAGCAACAATGACGGCACCTATTATTAATGGAAATAAAGGATAGTGAATATAAAACAGAAAAAAATGATGATGATGTAATTTTGTGTTGTTAAACTTTTCATATATCATTTTTGTTTTTGTCAATTTTGTGGTTGCAAAATTTGGGCGTTTTTTAAACATTTCATCAATTAAAAATGTTTTTTTGCAATTTTAGTTTTGTTTATTATTTGCATGAATCTTACAATCATTTTTAAACATTGTGTGAACATTGTGTAAATAAACAGTTCGCTATACTCGTATGTTATAAACGTAAAAAGTTATCTAATGTGGTAAATTTAAGGCAATGTAGACGGCAAACGAATTGTTTACAAAAATAAATTATACTTTATAAATTAGGAAAATAGTTACAGAAGTTTAAAATATGCTAAAAAATTAAAACAACTAAAAAATTTACAAAATCAATCAACCAAAAAAGTTTAGGAAATAAATTAGTTGCTAAACACTAGTCAAAAACAAAAAAAAGTGTACAATACAAAAAATGGCAAATCAAGTAAATCACTAAAATTCGCTCTAAAACGCACTTTTAAAACCACCGACTACCAAAACAGCACAGCAGCAGCAGAAACAAAAATTGTTGACTGTTCTCAACTAAAAAGCCACTACTGCTCCTAACTATCAAGGAGATTGCCCACCGCCGGCCCTCCATTCAGCGCCGCCAGAGTGGTCCTCGTGTTGGAGGTGCTGGTGGTGCTCTCCTGGGCCGGTGATGAACTTCCATCACCACCTTGAATCAGCCTACCATTAGAACCAATACCACCACCACCACTGCCTCTCCACTGCTGCTGCTGCTGCTGCTGGTGATGGGAGTGGGGGTGATGATTACTTCGAGTTTCTGCCTCATTTCCACCACCGACACTGCTGTTGCTGCTGCTCATATTTCGACTACCAACCCCACCACTGCCACCACCACTGCCGCCAATGTTAATGTTGCTGATACTCTCGCAGACGGAGCTGTTGTTTCCGGTCGAGTTGGAGCCGCCGCTGATGAAGAAGAGGCGGCCCTCGCCGCTGCCGTAGCGGGACACCCACCAGACGACGGCCAGCGAGGCGGCGGCCACCAGCAGGCCCAGCACGACGACCAGCGCCCGCTGCAGCGGACTGGGCACGACGAAGAGGCGCACCGAGCTGGACTGCCACTTGCTCTCCGTCCAGAGGGAGTACTCGGAGAGGAGGTCAGTTCGGACGGTCAGCGAGGCGGGGTCGATGGCCGGCGAGGTGGTGGGCACCATGTAGGCGGAGGAGCGGACGCACTCGCCCGCCAGCGAGCTGCCGTACAGCCACCAGTAGCGGAATTGCTGGGGAAAGGTAAAACAAGGTATAAGTTTGGGGTTAAATTGTGTTTTCCCTTTTCAGGAAGTCTATTTGCTGGTTATTACCTTGTCCTCCACTGCATCGCCCAGCCGGTCGCACTCGGTAGCATTAGGAACGCCGCTCATCACCTGGCCGGTGAAGCGGAAGAGCAGCGCCCGATTGACCAGACGCAGCTCATTGCGAGTCTGGAAGACGCTGACGTAGGTGCTGTACGGCGGCTGGGTGCCGTCTGAATAAAAAAGAAAACAAGTTTTAGTTTATCAATCAGCTAATTAACTAACTAACTGAAAAAGGGCACAAACTTACTAATCAGCTTCGTCTCCTCGGCGCCGGCCACCTCCTGGAAGAGGCGACAATTGGAGTTGTTCAGGTAGCAGGTGAGCAGGTCGCTCACCGTCCGCTCGCTGGCCCGGACGTCGGGCGTCAACGCCCTTCCAGTCACTAGCTGGTAGAGGACGCGGCCGAAGAGGGTGGCCAGGTCGGTCAGCCGCCTGGCCAGCACCTTTGCCGGCACAAAGTCCTGCCCGTCCTCGAGGAAGCTGTTGTAGTGGCGGTTCAGGTAGCCTTGGCGGTGGTTGGCTGCCACCAGGACGGCAAAGTGGCCATCCTCCACGGTGGCCGGCCGTTTCTTGAGAAAGGACTGCGCGGAGGAGGGCGGCAGTGGACTGCTGGAACCCTCAATTTCCGTGACCTTGATCTTGTTCAGACCAACGGCGTTCGTTTTGATGCTGTTCACTAGGTCCACCAGCGTGGGCACGCCCGCCGATTTAGGGTCCTTGTGAAGGAAGATCTGGTGAATTTCTTCTTCCTCTTCTCCAGAAAATGAGCCTTGTTGGTGTTGACGAGTGCTTCCATTTCTCCGGCGGCGGTACTGTCCCAGCTGACTCAACTCAATAAAGTGCGACAGATGGGTGAGATTGAGACTGGGATAGAGACTGTGCAGCTTCTCGGCGGAGATTCGATAGGGGTCGGCCAGCGGCAGCTCATTGGCCACCATCTGGTGGACGGTGTCACTGGAGCCGATGTAGTCGAAGGCCTCGCCGTCGAAGAGTGCAAAGAGCAGTTTTTTACTTGAGGCGGAAATGGCCGCCCTGATGGCCGGATCCTGGTGGAGCATCTCCGCGACGGCCATCAGCACGACGGTGGAGGAGATGGCCGAGTCGGCGCCCGGCGCCAGGCCGTCCAGCAGGCTGAAGGAGTCCTGGCGGGCGGCGAGGACCACCACCGAGTTGCGATCGATCCTCTTCGTCGCCGAGAGGTTGAAGCTGTGGTGGAAGATGTTGTTGCCGCCGATGGCGTCGCAGAGGACGTCTAAGGGGAAAGAAAGAGGTAATTTCATAAATCGAGTTTCATTAAAAAAAGTCTCAATTTGACTTTTGCACCTACCATCGTACATGTTGAAACGGGCGTTCATCCTCGACCGCCTCAAGCAGGTCACCGAGTCCTTGGCGGCGTGCATTGGCGAGCTGAGCTGAACCGCCAGTCGAGGCCACTCGCCGCCGGCGTGCTCCGCCAACTTCTTTCCCACCAGCTCAATCTGCGACCGATTGCGGAGGACAAAAAGGGGGAAGGGGAGGTCCTGGAAGAGCAGACCCTGGTGGTGGTCGGGCGTGGGCGTGTTCCAGCCAAAGAGGCGACAGTGGCCGTACTGCGGGTCGGCGGCGTACAGCGAGCGGAACTCATTCGGACAGGAGCGGTCGGCGGAGAGGGCGTCTGGTTTTTTGTCAGTGTCCAGCGCTAGAATGCCGTTCAGGCGGCCACTGCGGCTGCCTCCGAGACTCTTCAACTGCTGAATCAGTGTCCTGTTAAATGAAAGTGATAGTAATGAGATTAATTTCTGAAAAAAGAGTTCTAAAAAGTTATCATCAACATTACATGTTTGCCAGCTGTCCCACGGAGATGATGGCCACGTAGGGCGGACTGCTGCCGCCGGAGCGGAGAAACTCCAGGTCGGCTTCCTGGTGCTCTTCAGTGATCCTCTTTGCGATGCCGGTACTTCCGCCTATGGCGCTGCTGCAACCGATCTGGTGCGTCTGATTGAGTCGCCGGAAGCAGTAGTGTGAGCCGTCCAGGTCGAGGTATATCTTGTCGTAGTTGTGGCCGCTGACAGTTTGCAGAAGGGTTGTGCAGAGTACGATTGCCAGCAGTCTGAAAGATGGTGATGATTGTGATGAGAACAAAACTGGATTTTTGCTGTTGTTGTTGGTATTTCTGTTGTTGATGCTGGTTAAACTCCCAACAACAGCAACAGCAGACATTTTGCTGCTGCTGCTAGTTATTGTCATTTTTTTGTATTGCTTTTTGTGGTAGGCAAAGCAGTGAGCTTAAATCTAGTTAGGGTAAGTTTTGATTTGATGTTAGGTCATCAGGGATTTAGAGTGAAAATAAGTAAAGTGGAAGATTTTGTAGCGTAAAGTTACACACTACTAAAAGGTATTGTGTGAGAGGTAAACACAAGGCAATAGAGGCGGCGGCGGCGGCGATGGTGGCGACGATTTCTTGGCACAACCTTTAAGTTAAAGTGATGAAGCAGGGCAAACACTACTCTAGGAGGATTTTGGTGAGTTATTCCAAGAACGCTTAGTAATTGAATTAGTCACAGTCAGCAAACAGATTGGTAAATGTCGGTTTACTGAGTTTTGGAAATAGAAAAATCTGCCGAAGTGAAAAACAGAAACAACAGCGGCGGCGGCAGCGGCAACCTAATTGACAGCCGCTGTCTTTGGCAGTGCAATTAATGGCGAGCAGGGGAAGAGAGAGAGCACCGACAGCGAATTGAAGAGCAATTCAGCGGCACAGTGACACCAGCGTGGCAATGGGCAAACGGTGGGCAGCGGTGCCCCACTGATGACCATCTGCCCAAAATGCGTGCAAAAAGACTGGCCCGGCAAGCGATGTTGGTGATGAGGCTGCTGCAAAGCGTAAGCTGCCAGCAGTATTGTATTAAACACAGTTGTGATTGCAATTGTTTCTGTGGTTGCAGTTGCTGCTGCTGCTGCTGCTGTTTTTGACTGCCACTTGGCTTTTGATTTTTTTCTGATTAGATTAACGTACCTTTTGGTGACAGTTTCCCTTTTATTAGTTGCTGTCGTTACCAGTGAGACAGCAGTGCAGTGTTTACCTGCCTAGATGTGATTGCATTTTATGCTGATAAAAAATGTGAAATAATTCAAAATATAACTTAGTAAAGCTAAAAGTGTATATAAAACTGTAAACTACAGTTAACTTTGAAATTTATTTCAATAAGTTGTTAATGCAAAAAAGAGACATAAAAAGTCATTGCAAATGATTGAATATCAAAGACTTGACCTCTATGACCGTCGAGCAGAAACTGCTAAAATGAAATCGCTAAAATGGAATAACATTAGCAAGTTTAGTCAACTGGAACTGCACAGAGTAGAAGGCAAAACGAGCATCTAGAAGAAGAAGAAGCACCCGTAGAAATTATTAATATAACCAAAAACCAAAACCAGTCAGCACAGTACCGCCAGGCAAAACCTTTCTGACCTTTTTTTCTCGTTTTTACCTTTAGACAATCACTACCACCAGCAACAGAAGAAGAAAAAGAAACAGCAGCAATTTAATTAGCATATCTTTTTGGTGATTTGAAATTATTTTTTTGCATGTCAATGTCTCATTTCCCCCTCTTTTTGCTTTTTAGGTCAGGGGTTGTCGTCAACTTTTTAGTCCATTCTCGGCACATTCTTCCCTTCCCCCTTTTACCTTAAAAAGACGCATCCAAGCATTACCTTTCATCATCATCATCATCCATCTTGTACCGTTCTCGGTCAGTCACCACCATCACCACAGTTGACTGAATTCTGATCACCACCGATCACCACCACATGTGTGCTTCTTCAGAAGAATTTGAACTAGAAAAGAGAGATATAGCAATTGAACAAAAACAATGCCACTATCTAAACGAAAACTAAATGCACACTTTTAAAGTTTTTGGCTGTTGAAAACTATAGAAACAAGTTACATAAGTTTTTTAAAAAGATTTTTTACTGCTGACTTTAATTCTTACTCAATGTTAAAATTAAACAAAAATTTAAATAGGAAACTCGCCAAACTTTGTCATGCATGAAACAGAA